AAACCCTGTCTCGTAAAAACCAAAAAAAAAAAAAAAAAAAAAGACTGGGTTTCTCTATGTAACAACCCTGACTGTCCTGGAACTCAACTCATGCTGTAGACCAGGCTAACCTCGAACTCACAGAGATCCTCCTGCCTCTGCCTCCTGAGTGCTGGGGTTAAAGTCGTGGCCACCAACACCCCAGCAGTTTTTCTTTTTTTTTCTAGACAGGATTTCTTTGAGTAGTCTTGGCTGTTCTGGAACTACTCTGTAGATCAGGTTGGCCTTGAATTCACAGATCTGCCTGCATCTGCCTCCTGAGTGCTGGGAATAAAGGCGTGTGCCACCACAGCCCAGCTTGAAAACGTTTTTTATTAATTCTTCGAGACTTTCATACAATATATTTTTATCATATTCTTTGCCATCCCCTACCTTCTCCCAGATGCCATCTCCCTACCCACCCTGCTTCTTGTCCCTTCTCTCTCTTAAAACACACAAACATGACTCCAGGGAGAGGCTTCCTCCTGTAGCAGACCAGAACAAATACAGAGACCCACAGCCAGACATTATGCAGAGAGTGAGAAACTTCGGAACACTGGGTCCTATAGGAGAGGTCTCCATCAAATCCCTCCCTCGGGGCTCAGGGAACCCCATGGAAGAGGAGACAGAAAGAGGGCATGGAGAACACCAGGAAAGCAAGGTCTTCTAAACCAACATGGTGGATGCTCATAAGTGCTCACAGACCGAGGCAGCATGCACCGTGGATCTGCATGCACCACGGATCTGCACCAAGTCCTCTGCATATAAATTGTGACTTCCAGCTGTTTTTATTGACCTGAGTGTGTGAAGCTGTGGGTCTGTTTCTTGTGCCTTCTCTTTTTGTTTTAAATATTTTATTTATTTATTGTGTATACAGCCTTCTGCCTACAAGCAAGCAGATGGTAAGGTCTCATTCAAGGTGGTTGTGAGCCACCATGTGGTTGCCGGGAATTGAACTCAGGATTCTGGAAGAACAGTAGTGCTCTTAACCGCTGAGCCATCTCTCCAGCCCTCTTGTGCCTTCTCTTAGACTGTCTTCCTTCTGGGTTTTTTGTTTGCTTGTTTTTTGTTGTTGTTGTTTTGTTTTGTTTTGTTTTGTTTTTGCTTATGCTGTTGTTTTGGGTTTTTTGAAACAGGGTTTCTCTGTAGCTTTGGAGCTTGCCCTGGAACTTGCTCTGTAGGCCAGACTGGCCTTGGCATCACAGAGATCCACCTGTCTCTGACTCCCAAATTCTGGGATTAAAGGCCAGCACCACCATTGCCTGGCTTTGTTTGTTTTGTCCAATTCCAGTGTGTTAGTTTTTGTTTCATCTTATTACATTGTATTTTATTTTATTATTATCCATTTGAAGTCTGTTTGTTTTCAAATGAGAGTCAGAGTAGATCCAGATGGTAGGGAAGGCCGGGAGAAACTGGGAAGTAGAGGGATATATTATATAATCAGGAATATAATGAGAAAAAAATTGCCGGACTGCCTACCTCCTCAGGGTTTCTCATTGTAGCCCTGACTGTCCTGGAACTCACTCTGTAGACCAGGCTGGCCTCTAACTCAGAGGTCCACCTACCTCTGCCTCCTGAGTGCTGGAATTAAAGACCTGTGTCCCCAAAAATCTATGTTCAATAAAATGAAACCCTACACACACACACACACACACACACACACACACACACACACACACACACACAACCATGGAGTCTGATTTGTATTGGCCAGCCTTGAGATAAGGGTGCAAGCTACCCCAGGGCGTGGGGGTGGAAACTCAAGCAGTTACTGCTTTATTAGAGCACAGTTAACACCCACCAACTATGAGGTTGGAATTGGTAATGATGGGAGCCAGGGAAAGGAGGCTTCTTGGGAATAAACAAACACATAGTGATTATACAGTCTTAATTATTATCATCAATTTTATTGGTATTGCTGGATGTGGGAGCCAGCAATGAAACCTGCCCACAGGAGAAACTCCTCCATGCCTTCAGTCTCCCTTGCTCCTACTGCCCCTCCCCGAATACTGTTTTGGAGAAACAAGAAACACCAAGGCTTGAGAAAGTCCCAGACCCCATGCATCTTGTGGACCTTTTATTTTTTTTTTAAAGACAAGATCCCATGTAGTTTAGGTATGATCTTGGACTTCTGATCTTCCTGCTTCTTCCTAAATGCTGGCATTACAGCTACGTGTCACCATGTATGCTAGTGCTAGGGCTCAAACCCAGGGTTTCACGTATGCTAGAAAAGCACTGTACCACCCGGGTGGTGGTGGCGCACGCCTTTAGTCCCAGAACTTGGGAGGCAGAGGCAGGCAGATCTCTGTGAGTTCGAGACCAGCCTGGTCTACAAGAGTTAGTTCTAGGACATCCTCCAAAGCCACAGAGAAACCCTGCCTTGAAAAACCAAAGGGGAAAAAAGAAGGAAAGATAGAAAAAAAGAGAAAAGCACTGTACTGAGTCACCTGCCCAGCCTTCCAAATCTGATATATGTATGTATGTATATGTGTATGTATATAAGTGTTTTGCCTGCATGTGTGTTTGTGCACATGTATGTAGTGCCTGTGGAGATCAGAAGAGGGTGTCAGATCTCCCTGGAACTGGAGTTACAGGTGACTGTTAGCCTCCATGTGGGTGCTGGAAGGGCAGCCAGTGCTCTTAACTGCTGAGTCATCCCTTCAGATCTGATTGTTTACACCAAGTAATCCCAGCATTTAGGAGGCATAGGCAGGGAGATCTCTGTGAGTTTGAAGCCAGCCTGGTCTACATATCGAGTTTCAGGACAGCCAGGACTACCTATTGAGACACTGTCTCAAAATATCAAGCAAATAAACAAACAGTATTGTGTATCCCCCTTGAAGGCAGAAGGATGCAACTGACAAACCAACTTAGGAAGCATAGAGAGGAAGAGACACCCATCACTTGAGAAACCCATGTGAGTCTGAACCCTTTGGTATGTTCACCCACTGGGTCACTTCTAGAACCTCCTTCCCAACTCTAGCATCACAGACTCTTTGTGTGGTATAGGCGTGGGTGGCCATGTATATGCAGAGACATGGGTGGTCATGAATGTGCAGAGACATGGGGTGGACATGTGTGAGTGCAGAGACACCAATGGGCATGTATGTGTGCAGAGGCACAGGTGGGCATGTGTGTGTGCAGAGGCACAGGTGGGCATGTGTGTGTGCAGAGGCATGGGTGGGCATGTGTGTGTGCAGAGACATGGGGTGGACATGTGTGTGCAGAGTCACGGGTGGGCATGTGTGTGTGCAGAGACATAGGTGGGCATGTGTATGCAGAGGCACAGGTGGGCATGTGTGTGCAGAGTCACGGGTAGGCATGTGTGTGTGCACAGACACGGGTGGGCAGGTGTGTGTGCAGGCAGGGGACTTGTAAAGGGCAGCAGAATGTCTTTCTCAATTATTTCTCTACAGTTTTTTGTTCGTTTAAGTCAGGGTCAGTTGGACGGTGGTGGCACACGCCTTTAATCCTAGCAGTTGGGAGGCAGAGGCACAAGGATCTCTGTGAATTCGAGACCAACCTAATCTACAAGAGCTAGTTCCAGGACAGGCTCCAAAGCTACACAGGGAAACCCTGTCTCGAAAAACAAAACAAAAAAGACAGGGTCTTACTATGTATGCCCGTCTGGCCTAAAATTTACAGACTCCCCTGCCTCTGCCTCCTGAGTGCAGGGTTAAAGATGTGTGCCACCATGCCCAGCTTCTACCCTTTTCTGTTTGTTTCTTTTGTTTTTCAGGACAGAGTTTTGCTGTGTAGCTCTGGCTGTCCTGGAGCTCCCCCTTAGATCAGGCTGGCCTCGAACTCAGATGTCTGCCTGTCTCTATCTCCTGAGTGCTGGGATTAAAGGCATGCCTCACCACCGTCAGGCATATTTTTTTAGACAAGGTTTCTCATTGTTCCTGAGCTCACTACTTCAGCTAAACTAGCTGGCCCATAAGCCCCCAAGAACACAGACACTCCAGGATTTGCCTCCACTCCTCTAGGGCAGGGATTGCCCTGAGGAGTCTCCATGCCTGGCTTTTTTTTTTTTTTTTTTTTACGAGACAGGGTTTCTCTGTATTGTTTTGGAGGCTGTCGGTCCAGCCCGGCCTTGAACTCACAGAGATCCGCCTGCCTCTGCCTCCCGACTGCTGGGATTAAAGGCGTGTGCCACCAGCTGCCCGGCCTGGCTTTTTACATAGGGGCTAGGGACCCAAACTCAGATCTTCATGTTTGTGCAACAGACACTTTATGCACTCACTAAGCCATCTCCCCAAGTCAACCGAATCCTTGTTTTGAGTCATGCTTGGCAGCACCTGCCTATAATCCAAGCATTTAGGAGGTTGAGGCAGGAGGATTTGATTTCAAGGGTGGCCTGGACTACCCAGTGAAACCCTGTCTTAGAAGAAAGAAAGAAAGAAAGAAAGAAAGAAAGAAAGAAAGAAAGAAAGAAGAAAAACAGCTCCCCTCTGCTTTTATTCACTGGCAAGAGCTTGCCTGTGCCAGCTGTGAGCTCTCCCATGGAGACTCTGGCCATGATGCCTGTGCTTGGGAGACTTAAAGGGTAGAAGTCAGAGGTCTGATGCTGGGAGCCGGGGGAGAGGGGGGACCTCCTCACAGAGAGGTGTGGGGCTGGCTGGCAGTCAACTGTCATCCTCCTTGGCTTGGACAGAGTAAGTCAACTCTGTCTCTTATAGCCTTTGGTCCTGGGCTGTTGACACAGTCATCCAGTTACCCTGAGTTGCTAAGCAGCTCCATGGACTCATGGCTGACCCCCCAGGCAGGTGACCAGGCAGCCTTGCCACAGAAAGCTGAGCATTCAAGGTTTGATGGAGAGAATGTCTCTACTGAAGGGAGTGGCTTGTTGAGAGCAGTGTTTATCTTGCAACCGGGCAACAGAAGGCCAAGGTGTCTAGGAAACCAAAGCCATTTCCCTTGGCAACCTCATTGGGCTCCGGTAGGGGTGCACTTGTCTCCCATTCGAAAAAAGAGGACAGTGACTGGGGATGTAGCTGGGTTGGTGTAGTGTTTGCCTGGTATACATGAAGTCTTGGGGTCAATACACAGCACTGCATAAAAGTGGCATGGGCCACGTACAGCTGTGATCTCAGCATTTAGGAAGTGGAGGCGAGAACCGGAAGTTCAAAGTTATCCTTGACTACACAGTGAGTTTAAGGGCAGCCTGGGCTACATGAGACCATGTCAAAAGGAAGGCATAAAGGGAGGGAGGCAATCGTGGCGTGGGATAGGGAGGACTCAACGGTCTCCACTCTGCTAAGAGCATAGGAGTGTGATTTGAGCAGATGGAAACCTAGACCTGTCACTTTTAGTTGTGACCAGGGATAGTCAGGAGGGCTGGGTGCCTGAAGCCACAGATGAGACGGAGTGTGCAGGGGCTTTGAGAATGCAGGTGGTGGAGGAACCCCTAGTCTCAGAGAGCACTTGTCACCAAGGATTGCCTTTCTGTCACTCTCCTGAACCTCACTTCTTGGAGCCACTCCATCTCATTCAATCCTACAGATCAAATAGCTCCTAATTACGTCCCAGGCACATTCTTCAAAGGCACCCACACATTCATCTGTACTTAATGCACTTAAATCTCAGGGGAGGTAAGCTGGACCTCACATGCACTAATCTAGGATAGTTGACCCTATTTGTAGCAGAGACAGATATTGGGGTTCAAACTTCAAAAAGGCAAAGTAGCTGGCCACTAGCTCTTACCACTACCTCAGGCTGAATGGGCTGATCCTGCTGCCTCTCCTCAGTGTGGCTGGAGAATCTGAAACTGAATGCCTCCTATCCTTCATGTTACTATAGAACGAATGCCTGATACTGAGACCTTGCTCCTGTCTTATATACCCCCTAATGCTGGGATTAAAGACGTGTGATCATCTTTGTGTGAGCTGTTTCTCTTTAGGGCTAGATCCAATCTTGTGTAGATCTGGGTGGCCTTGAACTCACAGAGATCTGTCTGTCTCTTAATCCTGAGTCCTAGGATTAAAGGTGTGTACTACCACCTTCTAGCTTCTGGCTGCTGGTATTAAAGGTATATACCTGACTTCCATGGCCTGTGGCTGGCTTTGCTTTCTGAATCCCCAGGCATGCTTTAATAAATCATAAATAATGTATCACCACACTTGGTGGCTAAGCATCATTGGACCCACGTTGAAGATGAGACTGAGACACATACAAGCAAAGTGACCAAATGCCATTCACTGCTTTTCCTCAGTAAGTGAGCTGAATCAGGACTCTACAAAGTAGGTTTGCTAGTCTGCTTTGCAGGGTTTGAGGTTCAGGGAAATTCGTTGACACCAAGCACAGTAATCGAGCCCACATCTACACATGTGTGGTCCAGACTGTTGAGTTCAGAGCATGCTAAAGATGCATGTTCCGGGGCTCTCGCACCTGGCGTCCTTCCCTTGTGACAGACCAGTGAAATGTGGTACACATGGACACTGTGGTGGTTTGAGTAGGAACCACCCCCATAGACTCATATATCTGAATGCTTAGTCATCAGAGAATGGCACTTCTTGGGAAGGACTAAGAGGTCTGGCCTTGTTGGAAAAAAAATGTGTCACTGGGGAAGGGCTTTGAGGTTTCAAAAGCCCAAGTCAGGCCCATTGTCCCCCTCTTTCTTCCTGCTGCCTGCAGATCTGGATATAGAACTCACAACTCCTTCTCCAGCACCATGTCTGCCTGCACGCCACCACACTTCCCGAATGCTAATGGACTAAACCTCTAAAACTGTAAGCCAGCCCCAGCTCAGTGCTTTCTTGGTGTCTCTTCACAGACATATATGTGACATGTGAGAGCTGACAGGGGCCATGGAGAACAGATGAGAAGCAGGCGAAGGGAAGAGGCCTAAGTGTGTGTGCGTGTGTTGTTGTCACGCATGCTTCAGGCCTGCTGAAGATGTTGTCATCTCTGCCACTTCTGTCCCTTTCCCTGTTTCTTTTCACATAAGATGGCAAAAGTTCCCACTTGCTCGAGTCTGGGTGGAGAGGAGTGGCAAGGAGATAAGTCCCACCGCTGAGCATGGCAGTTTTGCAGCACAGAGCTATGTGCTCTTCCCAAGATGCTCCACGTTCCCTAGTGACCCCGGCCATTGCTTCTGCCCTAGCCCCTGTCTAATGATGTCCTCCTTTTGTTGCAGGTTCTTACTGTTGTCTCAGAAAATAGCAGAATGGAAGCAGGCAGGAGAAAGACTAATGCTGCTGCATCTGTTGGCCCCAAGCAGAGGAGCCTGGTGTCAGCCACAAAGCCGTGGATTGGTTTTCAGAAGAGTGGGAGCCAAAGCACGCTCCTGGGTGGCAGATGACGTAATGGAGAGATGTTTCAGGAAGGCTGGACTAGAAGGATCTAAGAAATAGGCTGGCAGGAGGGACCTTGTGACTATAGTAATGAGGACAGATTTGGAGGAAGGAGGTAGTCAGGTAAGGGCAAAAAGAATGCTCTTTTAGAAACATTCAGAGATAAAGAATGGGGAATTGGTGGCTGGTAAAAAATGGGAAGAAGAGGGACCAAGATGTTACCTAGGACTCCAAGGTGCCTCGCTTTGGTGAGGGGCAGTGACAATGTCAGACATTTGCCCAGTGGGGAGCTCAGGGAGTGGTACGAAGACAGGGCTGCTGAGGACTGAACATGTCTTTCCATGTTGCTCAAAGTCATCCTAACAAAGACACAGACCCAGGTCTTAGCAGGTCCCAGGCCTGTAATCTCCAGGAAGAAGCACTGGGCTGTGAGTCAGGCCCAGGTGGAAGAGACTCGTCACACAGTCCAGCACCTGAGTGGCATCGCCGTGAACTCCTGACCCTAGTGTTAGCTGACTTTAAGGATGCCCATTGCTCTGAGGGAAAGGAGCCAAGAGGAAGAGGACCTGGAAGCTGGTGTGGTCCCTGTGTGCAGCAGGGACAGGTGACACGACCCTGGCTCTGCTCCTAATAAAACACTCCGAGGACACCTGAGAGCTAGCGGTAGGGTGGAACTTTTTATTTGAAGCAAGTAATAGCATGGCCCCCAGGTACCCCAGGGCATCGGGCCACAAGAAATCCTCTCAATCTGGCCATTTCCTGCTTCTGGGCTGCTGTTCCCAGTGGACAGCAGAGGGCAGCAGAAGCCTGGTTCCCAGGTTCTTCCTGTCACCCACATCCAGCCTCCACCGAGCCAGGCTTCCAGGGGCATCCCCACGGGATGGAGAGGTGCCAGGGACCCCAACACGTTCCTGACACTCACACAAGTGCCTCAGGTGCTTTCGGGCATCTTGCGTTGGCCAGATTTTATGTCCACCCAAGGAGCAGTCTCAGTTCAGGGACCACATCCCAAAGAGAGAGGAGACAGCCCAGTCTTGAAAAAGCAATAGCTACCCCGAGAGAGCTTTTCCACCTTTGTCCAGGTGGGCTGCGACTGAGTCGTGGAAGGAAACTCTAGTAAGAAGAAAAGGTATACTGCACTGTGAAGAATCCAGTTGCTATTGCCTCTGTTGCTATTATTGCTTCAGGATGAAGGCGCTTTGTCCCCAGGAGGACACGGCCATGCTTACTGTTATTATCCTTATTAGCCACATAGGGGGCACACTGGGGTGAGCAGAGGAGGTGTCAGTGCTGTGGGCACCCTCCAAGAAGAGCAGCTAGGTGATAGCGGGGAAGCCTGTTTGTTTAGCACCCAGTCTGCACGTGTGCACGCTCCCAGACATGTGCATATATGGAAATAGGAGTGTGGCCGGGTATACAGGAGCATGTAGCTGACTATGTCCAACAGTGTCCACCCTCAGGTGCATGAGGAAGGAGCATGGTGTGGGCAGGCACACTCGGAAGTGTGGGCACACCTGGGCAGAGGCTGTAACCGTGGATGCTAGACAGGCACACAAACACTTTGAGCATCCCCAGGAAAGGCCAGAGGGCAGGAGGCTAAGCCGAGGAGACAAGGCCGTGGCTCGCCCGTTCCTGCAACCACTGTATCACTCAGACACACTAGCGAGGGGGCAGAGCATGGGGACTCTGTAGATACGGGGGCCCCTGCTGCAGCAGAGACCCTGAACACCAGGTGCCTGGTGCATACAGAGGTGCCAATTATGGAAATGGGGATGGCTTCCCTGGTATGCGTGTGCCCAGGCCCACTTCTGTGTGTATGTGTGTGGGCACCGAAATAGGTTAGCCACATGTGACTTCACTTAAAGCCACAAGTTGCTCCCAGAGGTCTCTACCCAGCATACAGCGCCACCCTGAGGAACCCAAAGGACTTAACTTCCTTCTAGGCACTGAGATCCACCACAACATGGCGGTACACTAGCGTTTGTCCCTTGAAACTAGGGGCCAGGAGCAGCTGGGCATCTCCAGCAGGCATGTAGCAGAAGGCTCGAGGGGCCTGTACCGCCAGCTCCTGGAACCGTACAAACTTCTGCCGTCCCTCGTCCCACTGGTAGATCTGCGTGAAGGAGAAGTCACTGCCCAGTGCCAGGTAGCGGTGGCCACCAACCAGGAAGGGCTGTAGGGCCAGTGAACCCCGGGAGGGAAGGGCCTGCACCTCGGAGAAACGGGTTCCCTCCCAGCGCAGGATCTTGGAGTCACCGATGTATCGACTAAGACACAGGTAGCTGTCTCGGCCAGCACGAAAGTGTTTCACGGCCTGGGCATCGGGCACCTGGGTCACCTCTCCCTGGACCACAAACTGCTTCTGAGAACGACTCCACTGATGGATGACAGGTGCCTGAGAACTGCTAGACACAATCAGCCGGGGCTTGCCCTCTCCATCAACAAACTCCAGGTCTGTGTCTCGGTGCCAGGCGTGCAGGGCCTGGTGGGAATAGAAGCCGCTCTGGTGCCAGCGGTAGAGGCTAGTGGCACCCGCCTTGGAACTGTCAGCCACTGCAAAGTACCAGTCACCGTCGATGCGGAAGGCTTCCAGGTCATTGGGCTTGCGCACACGCTGTGGGTCGATGTCCTGCAGCTTTGTGAAACGTGTGGTGTTGGGATCCCAGTGGTAGATGTACGAGCCACCGAACAGCTGGGCCACGACGACGTAGAGCTGGCCGTCCACCACCATCGGCTTGCAGTGCACAGCTGACGGGGCTGAGGACGGAAGCATGTGGAATCAGGCGGTGCCAGGGAGCTCCCACCTTTCCCCACCCAAATGGAAGACCGCCCTGCAGACATGCCCCACAACTAACATCTGCCACAGAATCCCACTCCCAGAACTCCGGGTCTGTGGTTTGTTTTGTTTGTTTGTTTAGTTTGTTGAGACAGGGAAGCCCTGGCTGGCCTGGACCTTATGATACAGACCAGGCTGGTCTTGAACTAGCAGCGATTTTCTTTCTCTACTTCCCAAGTACTGGGATCACCAGTGTGAGTCACCACACCCAACAAGCCTTGTTTGTTTGTTTTTCCCTCTGAGACAGATTCTCGCTACACAGTCAAGTCTGGTTTTGAATTCTTCCTATTCCCACCTTCACCACTCAAATGCTGGGATTATAGGTGTGAGCCATTATCAGCCCAGGACTTTGTACGTGCTAGGCAAGCACTCTACCCACTGAGCTCCATCCCTGGCTCTCAGGATTGGATTTATGTATGTATTGTTTGAAACGGAGTCTCTCGATTATGTAGCTCTGGCTGACCTTAAACTCACAGAGATCCACCTTCTCTTCCTCCCAAGCGCTGGGACTAAAGGCATGCATTCTATAGATATTATTTTGTAGACACTAGCTTTCCTCGAACTCAGTAAATTCTTTACGGGCAGAAACCATTTTTTCACCCATCCTTCTTCCTTTAGGAATTGACTGGGGTTGGACAATAAATAGAGCCACCTTCCCCCGGATAGGAGCAGCATAGGCAGGTCACATGCGGCTACCTGGAATTCTGTCGTAGTCTCGAAGCTGTCGTTCCACGTAATCCCACTTCAGGATGGTGCAGGCACTGGCACCTGGCTGGGCCAGAGCCAAATAGAGGTCGCTAGAGTAAAGGAAGGGTTCCGCTGACACTGCTGGGAAGGACAGTGTCTGGTAGAGGACAAAATCTGCAGGGACAAGAGGGGGGTGGAATCAACACCGCAGAAAGAGGCACCAGCCCGCTGGCCGGTAGTGGGGACCTGGCCATAGAGGCTGGTGAGCTCAGCTGGGTGGCCCTCAGTCGGAGCTGAGGCCCATCCTACCGGTGGTGACGCAGTCAAATTCCCGAAGAGGCAAGTCTTGCACTTTGTGCTCCTGGAAGCGGGGCGGGCTGGCGCAGTAGATGGGGGCCACGGTGGTGTTGGTGTGTGCCAGCCACTCCACCAGCCACTTCACCTTGCAGTCACAGGTAAGGGCATTGCCCCGGAGGTCTCTGGATCGTGAGGATAGGGCACAGAGGGGCAGACCCTCAGCTGCTCTGCCCACCAGCCCTCCTGGCTTTCAGAAGCTGCTGGGGACGGCTCACAAATAACTGGGTTCCGCCCAGCCCTCACGGCACAGGCAGTGAGAGGTGTGCTGGTTGAGCCTAAGCCCTGCTTGCTTACCTACCTGGCCAGGTACTTTTTTTTTTAACTTTTTTTTTTTTTTTTTTTTTTTTTGGTTTTTCGAGACAGGGTTTCTCTGTGGCTTTGGAGGCTGTCCTGGAACTAGCTCATGTAGACCAGGTTGGCCTTGAACTCACAGAGATCCGCCTGCCTCTGCCTCCCAAGTGCTGGGATTAAAGGCGTGCGCCACCAACGCCCGGCTTTTTTAAACTTTTAATTAAAATGTTTGTAACGCTGGGGACTGGAGGCCAGGCCCTTGCGCATTCTAGGCAAGTGCTCTAAATCACCGTCCTATTTTTAGTTTTTAGCCATAAGACCAAATGTTATTGTTCATGATCTTCCTGCTGAGCCTCCTACGTATCTGGGATTGCAGGCCTGTGAAGCCGGTCCTGGTGGCCAGGCACCTTTTGCAGTGGCCACCCTACCCCACTGCATGTTACTTCCCAGTTCTTCCAAACTTGACAGAATTCAGGAGCTTTTCTCTTATAAATAATAGCAAATGACTGCAGATATGCTATAGTTTTTTAATTAATTCAAATCAACCACACATTAAAAAACCCACGTGTTTGCCATACATATCTAATGTGCAGTTGAGACTTGAAGAGCCCCAATTTGGAAGGCTCTTAGCTATAGCTAACTTGACTCCACTTTCTCGAAGTCCCAAACCCAAACCTCCCAGTCTTTGATCACCCTAATTCTGACTCCCAGTCTACTCCCTCCAGGGGTATGCCCTCTGTGGCATTGTGGGAAGAAGCAGAATTCAGGCCTTACAAGTCACTCAGGATGTCCAGGGGACGAAAGATGTCTCTGGGCAGTGTCTGTAGGTTATTGTTGGCCAGTGAGCTGCAAGAAAGACCCTGAGGTCATCTAAAGACCATGACTAAATCCAGAGGATGCACAGGTTCCAGTCCCATGTGGGTATAGGTATCAAGTACTCACAGGTGTGTCAAGGACTTGAGTCCTCTAAAGGTAAACTTGGAGAGCGCCCAGATGTCATTGTTCTCGATGAAGCTGGAGAGACAGGAACCGGCCTCAGTTGCTACTCAGGGTCAAAGACCCTCAGGAGTGATTACGTCTGAGGCCAGACCCCAGCACGGGAGCCAGAGACAGGCTTCCACAGTAGGCAGTCACATCACACCCGTAGTGATAGGGTGTTAGGCAAGAGAGGGGCATGGCTGTGCCCATCCCACCTCCCTCCCGGCCTTCTCGTTCATTGTACTTCCCGGCTCAGCCCACTCAGACCTGGGCGCCCTCCTTCTACCCTGCCCTTGACCCCTCCCTCCCACACACAGGTACTGCAGGTGCGACAGTCCTATGAAGGCATTGTCTCCAATGAGCGTGAACTTGTTTGAGTTGAGTAACCTGGGAAGACAAAGGCGGAATTAGAACTTGCAAGGGTGTGCCTGCTGCCCATGCCCACTGCCCCACCCTCGAGCTTCTTCAAGACCTGGCTGTCCTTCCTCCATACCCCAGGACTCCTGGACAGCAAGACCAGGTGTGAACTTGCTTCCACATCACAAGCTCCCTATTTGCTTCTAAATACGGCGGGGAGGCAATGTTGTCCTGCCAAATAGGCTCCTGGTCCACCTCCATAACGTCTCTTCCTGCCTTCTCATCCTCACCCCAACCCCCTCTAGCCCTGCACAGACAGTTCTCCACCATGCCTCCCAAACCCTGATCCCTGGAGTCACCTGTGTTTAAAATGACCCCCTCCCCCCAAGTGTCCAGTGGTTGGCACTGGCCCAAGCCATCACACCCAGTTCCCTAGAGTCTCCAGAGAAACCAAATCTGCGTTCTGCATCCCACGTTCTTGGCTCCTGTGTGCAGTTTCCCTGCTGCCTGGACTCCTGGCCCCATGTCACCCCCTCCTGCAGCGTCTATCAGGGCATCTGTCTGCATTTCCAAACACTTCTTCCACCTACTCTCACACAAGCTCAG